GTTTATAGAGAAACAGAGTCGTTAGTTTTCAGTCCACTCCTCTGGCTTGTGCTGCACACTGATTTACAGAGTTGGATTAAATGGATGCAGATAAGTGCTGGGTTATCTATGACTACAGAAAGATGTCTTTTAGGTTTCACTATATTATGAAAATGTTACTTTTGGCCCTTTCTTTTGCCCAGAACAAGAATAATTTGGCTCAAGAAAAACTAGGTTTTTACTTCCTTGAACCAGATATATACAATCTAGAAGAAAACAGTTTCCATGAAGCTTGGTCTGATTTCTGATCAGTTTATTTCTTGTCCATAGGTATGTAACATGATGCTTCCCTTCCTTCTGAAAACTGTAAATCAGGTTATGGGAAACTGGAAAAGAAAGGAGACTGCGTCAGTTTGTAAAAAAAAAAAAAACAAAAACCAAAAACAGCCTTCATTTGAAACAGACCTAAGAAATTCTTGTTTTAAAATCCCTTTCCTGGGCTGTGCCTAGTTAACCTTTGATGGTAAATGTCTCCCAGTCAATGTTTATTTGAGAATATTTGGGGTTTTGTTCAAGCTTTATCTATATATCACATAGTAATTAAAGGCACCAGGCTGGTGCAACTGATCGTCTTGAATGGTTAATAATCATACTTAAAAGCCCATACTAATCTGATCAAAAGGGGCTTAAGGGACATTTTTGTTCCTGGGCTCCAAGGTTGACTAATTCCCAGGGGCCTATGGTGAATCTCTTGAAATGTCCTGTAGCTGTGATTAGTCACCTGTCCTCTTGTTCAGCGAAGTCATGGAAATTCCACCAGAGGGACTCAAACCAGTGTCCAGTCTATAAAGAAAAAGGTCAACACAGAGGAAAAGTCTCCTCTATGCTTCTAAAGAAATTCAAGGTCAAGCAGGACTTCTTGATATATCTTCACATAGATGGAACTGGTAAAAGGAAAGCCAAAGAAGCCAGGGCTCCCCCAACCCTGCAAATTCAAGTGACTCCTGAGGATCAGATCCTCATCTGACCTTGAGCAAACAAAAAACTTGGTTGATTTTGACCAACCGTATGATCTTAAACACTCAAAAGGAAAGTATAACCGAAGATTAAAGTAATCAGTATATTTCATTTAAAGTCTGAGAAATTATGCTTCCCAGACAGGCTTAAAAGTTCATATAAGATATCGTTTAGAAATTTCTCACTAGGATTTTGTACCACCTGCAGCCAAAAAGGACACGTCCACTATTGTTCTTACCAAAATTAAATGATGGTTATATTTCTCTCTCCCTGTCTAGAAACCATTTAAGAAGGAACTCACACTGTGACTATAGCTCTCCAACAGCTATTATAATGCCTGAGAAGCAGATACTGAGTCCAGCTGTCATGACCAAAAGGAAAATGAAAAAAAAAAACAAAAAACAATAAACTGATGCTTTTTGAAGTCCTCATCAAGAAATTCTAATGGGCTTTGATTTGGACATTTGAAATTCACCCTGTTCTGACTTCACCTGGTTCCCTGTCTATAATTTGTGCCTAACTACTCTTGCCTTTACTTCTCCTTCATGGGCACCAGTCAATAAGTTTCTTTTCCCTCGATAGATATACTTTTGGATCTTTCAGGTAGACCCACTCCCTGCATCCCTGTTCAGTATGGAAGAACCCAGAGCAGTCTTTGCCCCGATTCTCATTGGCAATTTGGGTAACCTCCTCAGAGGGTAAGGTAATGAGAATAGGAGATAGAGATTGACTAGACAGTTTTAAAGTAAAGACCCCAAAAGAAAACTGACCAGTTCCTTTCTCAATTGGGAGCTGGGAATTTCCTCAGATCCCTGAGAATAGAGATGCCAGAACTATCAGAAAAGGGAATAAAGGATAGGGGAAAAAAGTCTTTCTAAAAAGGTATCTGAAATGGTTGGAGCCTTTGGCTAGCTAACAGGACCAATAGTTATGATTCTAATAATCCTCCTTGTAGGGTCATGTACAGTAAATATGCTCCGTAACTTTATCAAAAACCAAGGAGATGCCTTCAGACTCCAGGTGCTTTGTCAAGAATGTCATAGAGTTCCTCTTGAAAAACATCAGGGATTATAGCAATGACGAGATGGGATATTATAGAAATATACATGCATGTCAGAGGCTAAAAGCTTTTGCAATGTAATGGTAATTAAGAACTCTGTAGCAGGAAAAGCATGGAGTAGAAATGGGGAAGTGAACAGGAATAATCCCCTGTTCCCTGTGGTTATGCAGGATAGAAGTCTTTGTTTTCCAAAGCTATCACATTCCTCTATCCTTTACCCAGTACAGAAGTTTTTATTTCCCAAGGCTTTCACATTTCTGTTATCTTTGCATTTCTGTTACCTTGCAGCCCTGTTATCTTACTTAATTTCCAATGTTTATGCTATGTACCTTTTGCTTGTGTTCCTCACATGAATATAAAAGACCCCCAAAATTTGAATGAGGGTCCTGACTCCTTTACAGAAGGATCCATGGATCAGTCCACTAGCATAAAATTAAACTCCCTCTCCTCACCTAAATTTGGCTGCTGGTCTCTGTTTTTTCTGTAACATGTCCAGTATGTTTTTTGTGAATTTAATATTATATATTTTTACTATATTTAGACCCCTATCTGCACTACCTTCTTACCCTCACCTAATTTCATATACTCTATCGTGTGTGTGTGTGTGTGTGTGTGTGTGTGTGTGTTAAGGTCTATCAAGTCAATTTTTTGTCTCCAAGTGGTCTTTGGTATGGGTTCATCCACTGGAGTCTAGTTATAAACCTTTAAATAAATCTGACTCTTCCCTTTCCAGTATCTAATAGTTGCCAATAGTTTCTCAGGTTGGGTTGGGATTTCTTACTCATCTCCCATGTCCATGCTGGTATTTTGTCTGACTTGAGCTCCATGGGACTTGTGAATACTATCACCACTGCTGTAAGTTCATATGGAGTAACTGTCATGGTGTCTAGAAAGCTGTTTTCTTTTCATCATCCACCACCTCTGAGTCTTAAAATAGTTTTTGCTCCCTCTTCTGCAATGATCCCAGAGCTTGGGAGGCAGAAGTTTGATATAGGTATCCTATTCTGGGATAGCATTCTATTGTCTCATAATCTCTGTACATTGGCCAGTTGTGTGTTTCTATGTTAATCACCATCTGCTGCGTTAGGGAATTTATTTGTAGACAGTTAAGAAATGCAGTAGTCTATGGATATAAGAATAAGTCATTAGGAGTCATTTTAATACTTTACTTAGCGGAATACTAGTAACTTCTTCTCTATGGTCTTTGACCTGTCTAGCCCCACAGGTTCAGAGGCCTGATATCAATGTCAGTTATGGACTCTACCTTTGGAAAAGGACCTTAAATTCAAGCATGGTGTGGTTGGTTGGTTACTTCCATAACATTTGTGCCACTATTGCACCAGTGCACATATGCTGCCAGGTCTGTGGTTACTATAGCTTAGAGGATTCCCAGCTGGGCAAGGTTGATAATTATTTTTCTCTTCCTGTAGTATGCATAGGCATCTTCCAGCCCTAAGAAAGCTAGCCAGTAGACATGAAGCTTTGAAATTTGCCCACTTATTTTCTCCTTGTTTCCTCTACAATTCATGTATCTGTCTTCAGCAATAGGGTCTTACCTTCAAGTTCTAGTAGGTACTCAAGAGCAGAGGAATAGCCAGTATTGTATACTGATTTTCTAAATGGTCATCTGAATTTACATAACTATATAAGAAGAAATTTCTCTCTTTATCTGAGCATTATACATCTGGTATTTCATACTAGGTTTGATCAAGATTTCAAGGTATGTTATGCATCTGGAATTAATAGATATTATTATTTTAGTATGAAAAATATGAGTTTCAGAGGACCCGTAAGAATTTGACTAAGAAATCATTTTGTAAGTATATTGCATGTGACAATTTTATGTCTATGTTTTTAAGGAGGCACAAATATAAAAGGAAAAAAACTTATGGGCATATTTTTAAAAAGCCAGATGACTAATTACTTTAGCTATATTCTATTAAAATTCAACAGATTAAAACTGTTTTCAGGGCAAGGTATGGTGGCACATGCCCTTTGTCCCAGCACTGGGGAGGCAGAGGCAGGTGGATCTCTGTGAGAGCAAGGTCAGTTTGGTCTACATATTGAGTTCCATGTCAGCTGGGGCTACAGAAAGACCCTGTCACAAGAAGACCAAAAAGTGTTTTCCATAAAATATATCTTTATTTTGAAAATTTATTTTCATGAGATTATTATTTGATTGCAAAGAAAAAAATAAATCATCAAATACCTAATGAATGAGAATGTTGTTCTAAAGCTAATATGTGTTTGGTCACTAAATCTTGATAGATATTGACTTCATTACCAGGGCATTGGAACAAAATTCTCAGGGAATTTGAAGGGTTTAAATAAAAGAAACACAGTGAGAAAGTCATCAATTTGCATCAACGTGATTATTTAAGAAAATAAGATATTAAGCCACGGTTGCACTTATATCACATGGTTATCCTGATGCACTTATAAATAGTAAAAATAAATTTATATCCAGAGCAAAACTGTTTAGTTTTATATCGATGTTTTTCTGAATGGCAAAGGTATGTTATCTTAACATGGCAGTAAATAAGCAAGCATGTCGACTGGGAAGTGTTAACAAGTCTGATGGAGTAACAGCACACTAAAAATTTCAGTCACGGCTTCAATTACAACAATCTGTGTTAATTTTCTACAAACAAAAACAGAATAGGTATGGATGTCTTTGAAGAAACCTGTAACCTGTCTTAAACATATACCTACATGTTTACTTCACATTCAGATTCATACTTTCTAATAAAGATCCAGGAAACTTCCACTTATAGGCAGTTTCTTGGCTTAAATTAAATGCCATTTCTCTCAATGATTGTTGACACTGAAAAGGAAATACAGTTGGTTTTGTGATTAGAACATTCCACTTGTTTCTCTTGAAATGTATTTATAATTACCTCTTTATCCCCACCCTTACCTTCCTCTGTCTTTCTCTGTTCCACAGAAAAAAATTATGACATCAACATCCAAAGGCATTCTCCGCCCATTTCTAATCGTCTGTGTTATCCTGGGAGGCTTCATGGCCTGTCTTCTTATTTACATCAAACCCACTAACAGCTGGATCTTCAGTCCAATGGAGTCTGCAAGCTCTGTGCTAAAAATGAAAAATTTCTTCTCCACGAAAACTGATTATTTTAATGAAACTACAATTCTGGTATGGGTGTGGCCATTTGGGCAGATCTTTGACCTTACATCCTGCCAAGCAATGTTCAACATCCAAGGCTGCCACCTCACAACAGACCGCTCACTATACAACAAATCCCATGCAGTCTTGATTCACCACCGAGACATCAGCTGGGATCTGACTAATTTACCTCAGCAGGCCAGGCCACCCTTTCAGAAATGGATTTGGATGAATTTAGAATCCCCAACTCATACTCCCCAAAAGAGTGGTATTGAGCACTTATTCAACTTGACTCTAACTTACCGCCGCGATTCAGATATTCAAGTGCCTTATGGCTTCTTGACCGTGAGCACAAACCCCTTTGTCTTTGAAGTGCCAAGCAAAGAGAAGCTGGTATGCTGGGTTGTAAGTAACTGGAACCCAGAGCATGCCAGGGTCAAGTATTACAATGAGCTCAGCAAGAGTATTGAGATTCATACCTATGGGCAAGCATTTGGAGAATATGTTAATGAAAAGAATTTGATTCCCACCATATCTACTTGCAAATTTTATCTTTCATTTGAAAACTCAATTCACAAAGATTACATCACAGAAAAGCTCTACAATGCTTTTTTGGCAGGTTCGGTACCTGTTGTTTTGGGACCGTCTAGGGAAAACTATGAGAATTATATTCCAGCTGATTCATTCATTCATGTGGAAGATTATAACTCTCCAAGTGAGCTAGCAAAATACCTGAAAGAAGTTGACAAAAACAATAAGCTATACCTTAGTTACTTTAACTGGAGGAAGGATTTCACTGTGAATCTTCCACGGTTTTGGGAATCACATGCATGCTTGGCTTGTGATCATGTAAAAAGGCATCAAGAATATAAGTCTGTTGGTAACTTAGAAAAATGGTTTTGGAATTAAAGTTTTGATCATTTTCACATTTAGTGAAGTATTTTAATGAGACATCATTCAAGTTTTGAGAATAAGAGGAGAAACAACGTTTTCATTTATGTCACACTTTATTTTTATCATTCTCCCTTGAGTACCATGTTTTATTTGATGGCAAGTTTTAAGAGCTTAGCATTAATGATCAATCCATTTAGTTTTAAGTTATCCTATATATACCTAATTATGTGTACTGAAAAAATAATTTATTCTCTCATATGAAAACTTTTTTTTCACATTTTTATAGTTGCTTGTAAAGTAAGTTTATGATTCAATTGTTGTCTCTACATTGATTAGATCTTTACTATATTGGTAAATGGAAATGCAGATTCTAAAATATGAAAGTCTATAGTCATGCCACTCTCAATGTGCCCTATCTCATCTAAAATGTGAAAGATATTTGCTAAGAATCATAACAATTAGTTTGTAGTTTGCAGAATGTTAAAGAACAATGTAATATCATTTAATTCTCCTTAACTTCTTTGACTTCAAAGTTGAACAATGTGTGTAACTGATCTAATTTCTACCTGTTTCCCACATTGTGAAGACAGAATTATTCATATGGTGACTAAGAAAGACATGAAGCAGAACTTTTAGAGTCAGAAATCCATTAAACTTCACATTCATTTGCATTAAACTGATTTGCAAATGCAGACTCTTGCTCTCAGAATCTTAAGTTAAATTATCTGAGAATTTATAAACATGTTATTTGTTGTGATTTTAAGTACTTTGAAAATAATCATAACAAAACCTAAGAGAATCTACAATAGATTTTTTCCAGATCTTGGTAATACTCACTGTAATAAAAGAAATCTTTTCCCCATTTCGAAAAAAAATGGGTATCTGTAAATACAAATCAAATTTACAAATTTTACCATTTACTCAGTTTTAATTACTTATACACATGTTTTCCCAAGGATCAATATTTAAAAGTTTTATTTTATCATATTGTAAAATAGATATAATTCTTGAAAGGTCTGTCTCCTCAATTATAAGAACTAAATAAAATTATCACAAATGTCTATTATGTCACTAACTATCATAGAGAGGAGCCTACAGGAAACACACAGTGATCTCAATGTATGTTTATTAAATGAATGAGCAACATTGAAAAATCATGGGTAAATTTTTGTTTATTTTAATGAAGGGACAGTTTTAGTCTATGAGTTGTAATTGGAAATGATGTTTAATACTCCTTTTTAAAAAATATTCATACACGGCATATATTGCCATGGTTTTCAGGACTTTGGAGAACCAATATAAAGTTATCGTTGCACTAAAATTTAGGGCAATTTATCCATGCACTTTCAGTTACTTACAGAATTTCTCCTCCACAAATTTAGAGAAGAGAAATGGATATAAGCAGATATGTAGATGAAAACATTCAGATACAAAAGGCTTCTCCAGGAAAGCCTTCTCCAAAGGATCTCTCTAACTGTATTCCACTCTGGTCAAAAGGTCATTGAAAGAATAATGTTCTGATGATATCCATGGGGGTCTTCTGAGGCTTATTCTAATTTTCCTATTACATATTGAAATAAACAGATCTCAAACTCTCTCTCTTCTTTACCAGATATACATTGGACAGAAAGATGAATTTCAGTTCAATTAGAGGAAAGATATGAAGTGAAAGAGAATGAACTTTCCCTAGCACTCAAAGGATTTGAGCAAGCAAAGAGTCCTGAGTTAAAAAGAGAACTGTTTGATCCCTATGTTCGTTTCTTAAGCTACAATTGAACAGGTAATGTTTTCAGGCCCTAAGTACCACAGAAATAAAGATGAAAGGGTATTATCACTATCTTAACAGAGCTTGCAACAATGCAGAAAACCACAAAGCTTACTTGAAATTCTGTCTTGTGCAGTTCCCAATGGAGATTATATTAGCCTTCATTGATTTAATGAAAAAAAAAGAAAAAAACCTAGCAATTTACCAAATTTTTTAGTTACTTAATATGTGTCTGAGCTGAGAATTTCTCCTCCTTTTTTGTTCGAACACAGATTCCAATATTATCTCTTTTGTCCACATACAATTTTTTATCCATAAAGAAATAGTATATATACATAAATACTCTCCTAAAAGCTACTCTCACATTTATTTATGAAAGTCAGTTTCATACATTATATGTATTACATATATATGTGTGTGTGTGTCATATTTTAATCCATTAAAAAATAGGAACCTAAACATGATGCAATGCTAAGCTTAGAAAATATATACTTTCTCTGAAAGCTGGAAAGCACTCAATCTCATTACTAACTGTCTTTGCTATAGCGGATGCTAAGAGACCTGAGGACACTTGCCTCTTCTGTTGACCATGAATCCAGGCTCATTCTTGAACTGTAATTATATGTCAATAATATAATATAAGCCAAGACAACAAAGATTGACTTAGCACATTTGCATATTGAAATACTATTACCAAGACTAGAAAAGTGGTCCAGGTTCAAAATTCCAAAATGAATGAATCAGCTTGACAGTTTGATTCTGATCTGTGAGTTTTAGGGCTAGAAGAAATTATAGCGATATTTACTAATTTATTCCTTCTTCCTGTTTTGAATTAACTAGATCCAGAGACATTATTTATTCTAGACATATGTTGGGAGAGAAACAGAGCCATGTGAAGCCCACAATCTGATAGTAGACATTAGAATCTAAGGGTCTATTGCTGTTAACTTCCTATTTTTTTCTATCACATTCTCACCTTATCATACAGGCATATCTCAGTTCCTATAAATATGAATGTCTCATTGATTTTATTTAGTTTCTATGGGATGGTATGTTTGGGAGATGTTACATTGAACTTTTGAATATATTTAATAACCAAAATTTCATAATGTTAGCATTCTTTCTTAAGTATTTTAGCATTTGAGCTTGCTGCTAGTTACAATAAAACTAAATAATTATGCCTGGGGATAAACTATGGCAATAAAATGAGAGCAGTTCATGCAAATGTTTTCTTTCAAAATCATAGAAAGCCATTACCATTGATGATTTGGATATTTAAATATAATTATTGCAGGCCTTATTAGTAGGAATACAGAGATATTAATTATTATGAATCTTACTAATAAAAATACACACTGAATTACTAAAATCTTGCAGTATCATACTCAGAAGAAGAAAAATCATGCATGCATGTAGTTTATAAAAACCATGAACTTGACAAGATGAAGTACAAACTATAGAAAAATTATCTTAGTGAGAAACGAGCATCAGTTTAAATTCTTGATATTTACTATTAAAGTCACAGTCCTAGACTGTGCAGAAATGCTTCCCTCTGTGACAGAATAGACAGCTCAGAATATTTGAGGTGTAATATTACGGAATACTTAGGATTTATTTGCTGAGCACATTTAATTTAAAATTAAACATAAATAAAAAGCAGAGAATTAAAATACTGAGGGGTTTTTTTTCCTATTTATTTTCAAACTATGTTCCATTAAATAGTTCCATCTAGCATTAAATAAATCAGCCAGAAAGTAGTTCAGCATAAATTAATATTCCAAAAACAAGCTTTAGCTCTTTACATTGTGACTTTGCGATAGGTCCTATAGGTTCCCTTGAACTCTAGTCTCAAGAGGGAACTTCTTAAAAATTATTATCAAGCTCCTGAATATAACAACAGACTTTAGAATTGAAAGGACCCACAATGTCTGATGCGGGGGAGATTACTAAAAATGGTTACTGGAACGATAGCTGAGTGAAGTTGATAAACATGGAGAAAGACTTTAATGTAATCACAGTGCCTGCTTCTTGGTGCTATTAATTTTATTAGTCACACTGCTGCCTAGTGCAGAGAACAGAAGCTACATGGTCTTTTCATCTTATCACTTTTCAAGAACCCCAAAAGAAGTGAAATTATAAGATTTAATTAGATTTGGAATTTGTGGGCATCATATTCTAATATTAATAACATACCAACTCTTTCTAGTAGAAAATAAATTAGCATGTAAGGAGAATATAAAATGAAGGCATCCTGACAGGTAGATATGTGTTACCAAACTATGGGAAAAAAGATACGTTTTCATTCCTCCCTTGATTCCTAACAGGTTTCTGTTATATTGTGAACATATTGCAAACACCAGTCAATGCAGTGATTTTTTTTTTTTTTTTTGGTTTTTGGATATATCTCCTTTAGAGATTTTGTAGCAGTTTGCAGATGTGTAGGCACTACTACTATCCAAAGAACTGTCCCTCTCAGTAATTCATATTCAGCCCATTCATTAAGAACTTAACAGCACCTAAATGAGGGCAACCCTGTTAAACTAGAAATATAAAAATTTCTACTCTGTGCTACAACTGCACCAATGATAAATTTGAGGAAGTCCCTAACCTCTCTGGGTCAGTCTGTGAGGTTCCTCTAGTACTACTGCTCTTTAATATTAGACCTAAATTGATTTGTGGAGAAATTTGAATTTGAAATTTCCTTGTCAATCTTTAAATATTTTAGAAGTAAATATTCTAAAGCTACTTTCTTCTTATTTCTGTAAAAGCTATTTAGAGCATGAAACTAGCTACCTGACTATCTGCTAAGAACAGAATCTTGGTTCTTTATGGAATGTAGAATGTAGCAAGTGCTCAATTAACTAATATTTATTTTTTATCTTCTTACTCCCGTTGGGTCATTTTTTTCTCCGAGAACTGTAGAAAACCAACAATGTATTGGAGAAATTTTTATTATAATTATCTGTAAACCTTTATTGTTGCAAAATCTCAGGAAATCAGTGGAAACACAGAAGGCAGTCCTCAACTGACTATAATAAGGTTTCAATAAATTAGATTTAATATATTTAGAAAATTAATTTTTTAATTCGTAGCTCATTTATGCAGTCATTTGACATACTTTAGAAGTATTTTTATTTAAAAGGAAACTCCATGTCAGTTGCATTTTTCTAGTGTTATTCAAAACAGAGTTACTAGATCACATGATCTAGAATTTGCAGAGGTGTTTACTAATAATACTAATTCCTGGGCCCTGCCCCATGCCATAGCAACCTCTTCATCTAAAAATGAAAAAGAATGTCGATGGAAGAAACCATGTGGCTAGTATAGTAAACCTAGGTTGTCTTGCGCTTGCTGTAGCTGATGAGCCTACCATTAACCAATGCTTCTAAACTCATGTCTGTCTTGGGGACTTCCTAGAGCATCTGTATCATTTGAAAAAGTGTGTGATAAGACATATCTCTGATGCTGTATATCTGAGATAAGGTCCAGAATCCGAATTTTATAAACATCCCCAGACAGGTATGAAATGTTGCCGGTTTTCAGGTCTGTATTCCTATTAAATAGAAGGTATTCTGTACTCGAGATACCGCCTTTCTTCAGCTCACCTGGAATCTTC